TGAATATAAATGATCATATTACAACTGAAAGAATCACAATTTCTTATTATTTTTCTCGAAAAATAGGTAAATTCCCTAATGATCGTTTAACAGATTGCATTAGATAAAGATCAAGTTTTCTCGCTTAAAATCTATTTACATTGGGAATTTACTTTACGACAAAGTTTTATAAGTTGGCACTAATATTATATAAATAGGGAATTTTCCGTAATTTATTCTGTCTAACACCTATAACTTAATTATTATATACGATAATGCTTTAATAACTTTAAAATACATATATATTTTTTACCTTTTCCAGACGCCCTGCTGTAATAAGTTCTACAAATGTCGATTTTGCCACGATGAAAATGAAACGCATCATTTCGATCGCAAAACTCTAACGGAACTGATCTGTTCAGAATGTAATACTAGGCAAAAGGTGCAAGAACGTTGTCAAAATTGTGGCATACGTTTTGGAAAGGTAATTGTAAAAATATTTTAATACATTGCAATCTTTTACTAATAAAATATTTTGAATTTGCTCTAGTACACCTGCTTGATCTGCAATCTTTTTGATGATTCCAATAAACGTCAATATCACTGCGATCAGTGTGGCATTTGTCGCATTGGTGGTAGAGAGAATTTCTTTCACTGTAAAGTCTGCAATATGTGTTTACCCATACAATTGAAAATTGATGGCCACAGGGTAAGTTAGTTATAATTACGCGGGTAACAAGAGGCTTTGATGTTAAACGGGCTTTTTTGTAAAAGAAAATGTTTGAAATGTTTTAAATATTGTTTGTTGCTAGTTATTAAAAAGAATTTTATGGGGAATTTTAATTAAAACATATACGATATCAAAGTGTTAGGGGAATTTATTTTATGATGCTTAAATCGCGTGCTTAGACTGGTAGAGAATTTAAAAAGTTTGAAAATATTTTAAATGTTATAATGAAATAGTTTATGTATGAGTATTATTTTTAATGACTTTGAGATGTTTCGAATGTTTTAGAGATGATTTGTTTTTAATTTAAATTGATTTAGGCTTATTGTTTGTTTAATTTAATTCAAAATTATGTTATTTTTTAATTGTTTGGCATTTTTGTTAATTTTATGATTGATGCGGGTTTATTATACCCTCATCAATATCGAATCTGTTATTTATATATAATTATTACAACAGAATAATTAACAAGAAATTTTAAATGCCTGGAAGTAGTTTTGTAATGTTGTAAGGAAGATATAGTTGTAATTTTGAAGTTTCCGGTTTAGGAATCATATTTATTCATAAGAAACGGAACTCTACATTTCCTTTAAGAAACAACTTGTTTGCGAAAATTGTATTTTGTTCATTAAATCTACATGTTTTACTAGCAAAAAAAAACTAAAAATGCCCACTGTCATCTAATCTTTTTTAAAAAATCAGTGATTTTTAAACGAAAAGATTTACCCCCGTCCTTATAAAGATTCCTACAATATACCATCAAGAACTTTATTAAGCATTTATGCATATGGGGATTATTTCCTCCATTTATGTAGTCCTAAAACTACTCCCCTGTAAACAATATTGGACAACATGGTCCATTTAGTAGTCCCATGTAATGCAGACATGGACCATGTTGAATTTTTTGAAAACAACATGCTCCATAGTCCCCATTGGATAGGACCATGTTGCGAATTCGATTGTAGCAAGGGAATAGTTTTGGAATTAGTTTAATGTATGTGTGGATTACGAGGTCCTTACCTAGGACACCACAATGTTCAATGGAGTATATTTTATCATATATTGTATACGTTTTGAGTACTCTTTACACATGTGTGCGGAATAGTCTCAACTTTTGCAGGGTTATAAAGGGACAAAATTCTCTTCGTACCCACAATACTATATTTGTACTTACCCAAACTTAATCTTAATACAATTTTTTCTTTTTATTTCATTTTAGTGCGTAGAAAATATATCACGTTCTCACTGCCCAGTGTGCTTGGGCGATATACATACCTCACGCATTCCATGTCACATTCCTGACTGCGGTCATCTACTGCATAAAATGTGTTTTGATCAGCTATTAACCTCTGGCCATTATACCTGTCCCACATGTCAGACATCACTAATAGATATGACAGCTTTATGGGAATATTTGGATGCACAGGCTGAATTAATGCCCATACCTAAGAAATATGAAAATCAAAGAATACATATATTTTGTAATGATTGTCATAAGGTAAAGGAAATTATAATTAAATTAAAGTAAGATGGACGTTTGTCCATTTTACTTAGATATTACCTGTTATTAAGAAATAATATCCTTAAATCTTATATTGTTTACTATAGACTTCCAAAACAAAATTCCATTTTATTGGTTTAAAATGTGTTAACTGTGGCGCTTACAATACTACACAGGATGTTAAGAGACGCATGTCTCTGGTAACAGGTAATTTAAACAATTTTACAAATAATACATTTTTTTTTAGACTTCAGTAATTAATTAACAAAATTATATTTACTTTATAATGTTAATAATTTCAGATGAATCCACGTCTGCATGACATTTGGTGTTTTCAAAAGCTTCTGTACTAAAGACGTCTACAATGCATAAATTGAAAAATTTAATATTTAGTTTATTCGAAAATATATTCTAAATTTGTTTTTTTTTTTCTACACAGATTACTTGCCACTTCTTTTTACAAGAATTTAAAGAAATTGTTTTACTATGAAGAATATAGTTTTAGGTTTAAAAAGCTGTAGATGGAGAAAAATACCAACCACCTTGAACTAAATTTTTTTTAAGAAATTAAGTAAAGAAAATTTTAAAACTAAAATGTTCCTTTTTCTTTGCGTATATAAGGAAAACTTTGACAAAATTTATTGCATTTATATTTTAGAAAAAATAAATCTAAAAGCTGATTTCGAGCTGGTATCGAATAGAAATGTATTTTCTAGTTAAATTGTAGGGAAATAAATTTGAATACTAATTTGTTAAAGCCCTTTTAAAAGAATTTAATTAATATTTGAAAAACTACAGCCCTAATCTGTAGAATGGGTATTAAAAATTATAATAAATTATATTCGAAAGCATTTAGAATGAAATACTGCAATAACAACTTTATTTTAGAACTTTAACAGAATAGGGCTGTTTATTAATTATACTAAATTTGTATCTCAAGTACATATTATGTTATTGTGGCAAAATTTTTATAATTATTTTTTTTTTTCAAACCCAAATGATTGTGTTAAAATAAAAGTATTGTATTGAGTGCCTAAAGACTAGTTTTAATTAAACAATAAATTATACATATTTTTTTTTCCAAAAGCAAACAAATTAAGCCAATAATAATATTCATTAATGATTATTTAATTAAACGTAAGTATACAAAAACAAAACCTGCTAAAAAGCTAATAAATTCTCTATAAAAAAAGGTGTATAAAAAAAAGCTGTAATAACTATAATATCTATAATTTAAATGACACCAAAAAAAACAACAACATTTTGTGCGAATGTTTGTTTACAAAAAAAGTATATAAAAAATAAAAAAAAAAACGCTATTTGTTAAAAAAAAACAACGAAGACTATTGCTAGAAGACATTCGTTAAAATACATTGTTAACTCATTGTACTTTTGTTTTGTGCTCGCCACCAGCTTGTTGTTCTTCGGCTCGTTTTCTTTCCTTCTACGTTTCTTTCTTCTCTTTCCGCTCGCGCTAATTTCTTTTGTTTTGTTAAATAAATACCCAAAGCATCATTAGAGCCCAGCCTATATAGCCAATATGATAAACTGAGCTATAGAATTTCCATATATTACCAAAGGATACCAAAGAAAAGCGGTGCCTAAATAACTGAAAGCAAAAAATTTCGATATCCAAAATAAAACATCAATAATCTGACGCTGCAGGCCAGTGGCGTCCTTGCGCACTAAACTATTCCACATATCTTCAAGGGGCACATACAGGGGAGCACCCATTATGCAGAAATAATGACCCGGACGAAAGCCATGCCAATAGGCAGAGCAGAGTAGTGTGGCAGCAGTTCTACAGCAAATAAATACAAATGATTCTCCATAACAAAGAAGTATGATAACAATGTGCTTTCGTATTCTCACCTATATTTCTTGCTAGGGAACAACTTGTATATATTCACTGCCAACCAATATTGTACACAAATATTCCAATGTTTCATGGCCTCACGGAAGGTCCAGCATTTCTCCACGTTCATGACACGCGTATTAACTATTGAAGTAAAGTTATACGTTCTTTTATCGGCATCACGTTTCAAATGCTGATATTGTTTACGGGGACCTTCACCGTTGGCCACATCTGATTCATCGGGATACGCGCCAAAGCCTGCCATAGTACAGACACACTCACTCAACGTTAGACCGGTATACATGCGCATACGGAATATAAAGAAAGTGGGCCACACATACATTAGACGATAGAAAAGGAACGTTGTGTATAGAATTCATCACTTAGGGCGTACTATGGGGCGGGGCCAATGGTTTGTATTTTGGTTTTTGTTTATAATTAAAATATTTCTACATAAAATTTAGCTTTTTTTCTTGTTATACTTACACTTAAAGGATAAAAATAATTAGCTACGAGATATAAAGCACAATAAATACCAGCACTTTTAAGCTTTTCCACGGTGGCCTGTACATTGGGAGCATAATTTTTGAAAGGTGTTTCGAAATAATCACGATATGTGCGATAGCGATAATAGGGACCTTTAAATAAAAATGAATATGTTAATAAAGCTTTATTTCTTATGTTTAGTGATTTGTTTTTGATTTTCTTTAAAAAAAAGACTTTATCCCAACACCTTTAAAACTCTTTTTACTTTTCAATAGAGAATTTTTTATTAGATTTCTTTTCCTCCTGATCAGCTTGCTATGCAAAACATCATCTTCAATCTGTTTTATAGAAAAATCTTTGTCTTCGACATGTTTTCATAGAAAAACTTTGTCTTCGATAATTTTTCTATAGAAAACTTGTGTTTGATCCAGTTTTCAATAAAAAAAACTTTGTCTACGATCGGATTTCTATAGAAAATGTTGTTTTTGATCGATGTTTCAATGATATCCACTTTGACTTCGTTCAGTATTCGACGGAAAACTAATTCTTTGTTCAGTTTCCTATAGATAACATTATCTTCGATCACTTTTCTATAGAGAACTTTGTTTTCGATCAGATTTCTAAAAAAAACGTTGTCTTCACCAGGTTTCTATAGAAAATGCAGTCTTTGATCGATTTTCTATAGAAAATTTTATCATTGATCAGTTTTTCTATAGAAAATTTTGCCTTCGATCAGTTTCGGATAGAAAAACATTGTATTTTCAATCAGTTTCAGTTCAGTTTTCGATAAATTTTCTATAGAAAATGGTGTCGTTGATAAATTTTCTATAGAAAAATTTTGTTTTGATTAGTTTTCTTGAAAAATGTTTTCCTTCGATCAGTTATCTATAGAAAAACTTTGTATTCTATTAGTTTTTAGTAGAAAATGTTGCTTCGATCAGTTTTCTTTGGAAAAAAACTCTTTCTACCATTAGTTTCATATAGAAAACTTTGTTTTCGATCAGTTTTCTATAGAAAATGTTGTCTTTCATCAACTATTATAATTTACTAAATCAAATACTATAAAAAAAAACCTTATTTTCAAACAAATTTTTACAAAAAGTTTGTGTTTGATCTGTTTCGATGGATTAAGTGATTAACTTTCTATAAAAAATCTAGATCAGTGTTCTATAGAAAGTGTTTCATTCATTTGGCATTCTATAGAAAACATTCCTATTCATAGAAACATGTGTCACTCATTTGACATTCTATAGAAAACATTCCTCCCATTCGATAACTTTTTTAATAGAAAACTATTGTTTATGATCAGTTCTGTAACAAAATGTCTGCCATCGATCAGTTGTCAAAGAAGAAGAAGACGTGTATATATTTAATGTTAATCTGCTATTGATTAATAAGTTTTTTGTCCATCTATTTATAGCCACACATCAGCTTACCCTATTAAGCAGCATATTTATAAATATTCATTAAATTTTTATTAATTTGTCATCAATATGGTCACCCTATTGATAAGCACTATAAAATTTGCATTAAACCCGGTAATACAATACAATAAAACTAATAATATTATAATTCGCGCCAGCTGGCAGTAGCCACTAACAATGATACAAAAAAAAAGCTTATCAAAATATCTATGTGTACTGCTTTAAAAAAAACTAAATTGATAATTTAATAATAAGAAAATAAGCGTCGTCTTTCACACTTACCCGTAAGTATGCCAATATAGTTGAAAGTATAATGGAATAACTCTACTATGTTAATTGACTGAATTTCCACATCATAATCGGTAATTTCAACCAATTGACCAGCTTCTCCCGAAACGGTTTGCTTGTCAGTTTGTTCTTTTTCACGCTGTTGAAGTTTCTTCCAAGAGGCAGTTTTTTCAAAACCAATACCAGCCACCTTCATAAAAGTTAATAAGATTTATGACTATTGTTTCTAATCGTATTATAAGCCAATTACTTAGATTACTGTTAGTTACAAACCTTCAAGGTCAAAATCATTTGTATCATATTCGTATGACTGGGTGGCTCGGAGAAACCAAATGAATCCATTAAACGGAAAAACATCAAGTAACCAAACATGGCAACAAAGGCCGCCAAATGGCATTTGCTGTTTTTGTGTGTAACAAAAATACAAAGTGCACATGTAAATTAATTTATGCAAAAACATAATTCTTTTTATAAATTTTCATTTCAATTTTGGTGTCATTCACACTTACCTAGGGTGGACATAAATTACGGCTGCCGCACCCAAACCGGCCGATATTAGGCAATGCAAAGTATGCCATCCTGATACCAGGAATACCATTAACAGACCAAATCCTGTACTAAGGAATTTCCTTTGGGTTTCATCGGGTATTTTCTTCACATAATTCCCGGCTCCTATGCAGGTCAACAGACAAGCGACATAAATTATATCATCGAGTTCCATGTTGTATTTGCAGTGTAATTTATAATTTTATTGATAGATAATTATTAGTTGTGCATTCTTCTCTAGTTTTTGTTAATAATTTTGTATTTTTTTCGTATTATTACGAATTAAATTTGTGCTGTTTTTTTCCGCAGTTGTTGGAAAATGAAAATAAACAACCACCGACTGATGCAGAGCAGACAAATATTAACGACGGCGGCGACTGACACTAAATATGACGGCTGCGGTTTAAAACCGACTGTAAGCCGGCTAAGTTTTCAACTGCGTTTAGTTTTTAAATTTTCAACGATTTTAAATAAAAACGGAATCCGAGAGATCAGAAAATGGGATTTTGGAAGCAAATATATTGTTTATAACAACAAAACAGAGCAAGCTCTAAAGTTGTGTGAGAAATTATGCAATTTCGCCAATTATTCCGAACGTTAATTAAGATTTTAATTTAATCTTTAATTAAGATTTTAATTTAATCTATGAAAAATTTGAATCTAATAGTTTCCCAGATATACAAGATTTTGTATTTAATTCATATGGGAAGTGCCAAGCCCCCCATTGAAAGTCCGCCGTAATTCTCTAAATGTTCTTCAGTAAAATTTGAAGATTCTAGCTCTAATAGTTTCTCAGATATACGAATTTTTCTATTTAATTCATATGAAAGTCCGCCCTTTTTTCTCCAAAATGTTCAGATAAATATTAAAGTTCTTTGTGCAAAATTTGAAGAATTTAGTTCTATTAGTTTCCCAGATGAACGAATTTTTGTATTTAATTCATATGGGAGGTTCCGCTCCCCTCATTGGTAGTCCCCTAATTTATTACCCAAAATGTTTACATGGATGTTAAAGTTCTTCCAGAACAACATCATTTAAAGGGATCACAAAGAGATTGAAAAATATTCCAAAAGTTTCACTTTGAAAACATTATTAGAGTGTATGAAAACTCGCAACTCTAAAGGCAGACTATTCCTATTTTAGCGGTAATTTCTTTATGATTAAAATAGGTAAGAAGTAAGAGTTATATTCGGCAAATCATATGTCGTAAAAAAGTAAATTTTGGAAGTGGTCATATACATATATATATGGACTTTGATCATTAGATTAATAAGAACGTCACCGTGATTTTCGGATTAGGTACTTAAATGTGGAATTGGGTCAATTATGGACAAAGTTGTCTATAATTTAAAGTATTTTTTTTAATTCTACCATAATTCTATCATAATGATAACTTTTGGAATGATGTATTAGCTATAAACTGATTTTCTCTAAGAGGGTTACATTACGTAGAAAACGTTAAAATCAATTATTGAAGGGGGCAGGGTCAATTATGGCCTATAGAGATTTCGATTGATATCGAGCCCTTTTTGCAAAATGGACGTAAACGAGATAAATTTTCGTTCAATTAGGATTCTTCCTGTTTAATTTTATGTTTATATATTCAATATTTTAGAAAATTCAAAAAGTACTAGTTAAAGAACGAAAAATTACCAGAAATACTACAGTTTAAATTTTCATTCACTCAAGTCCCTGATTGCTTAGTTTTATGTTTTTAGATTCATTATAATAGAAAATTCCAAAAAGTCCCGTTTTATATGTTTTCACTTACTCCATGCCCTACAGGTTTAATTTCATGTCTATAGGTTCAATAACGAAAAAGTACTAAAAAGTCCCTTTTTATAGATTATAATTTACTCCGGGCTCTACATATTTATTATTATGTTTCTAGGTTTAATTTTATGGAAAACTCAAAAAGTACCAGTCGAAGTACGATAAAGTTTTTTAAAAAGTTACAATTACGTTTATAAAATTAAATAACATATTGACATCCCTGCACTGAACAGCTGACAAGAATTACGTATATTTACCGTTACAATAAAAGTATGGCATTTTAAATTAATAAAAGTGAACTTTTTGTCTTCGAAAAACATTTTTATAGAAAAACTTTATATTCGAACAATTTCCAATAAAATAATACCTATTCCAACTGTTTTCTATAGAAACATCTGTATTCGAATAGCTTTATATAGAAATCTGTACAGTTTTACAATTTTCAATAGAAAATTTACCAGTCCGATACTTTTTTATTGAAAACATTACATTCCAACAGTTTTCAATAAAAAGAAAACCTTCCATTCGATTAGTTTTCTATGTAAAACTTTTTATTTGACTATTTTTCTATACTATTTTTCTAAAAAAATATTTCTGATCTACTATTTTTCTATAAAATAGTGCTATTTATACCCTACACCACTTTAGTGGGGAGGGTATATTGGGTTTGTGCTGATGTTTGTAACGCACAATAATATTGGTCCTATACCCACCTTAAAGTATACCAATCGGCTCAGAATCATTTTCTGAGTCGATTTATGTCGAAAATGGTTAAGATCGGTCCATTATTTCACCTAGCCCCCATACAACTGAACCCCCCAATACGGCTTGTAATCCTTGTAATCAAACTACAGGTCGCAATTTTGAAGATAATTCAATAAAATTTGGTACATGATCTTCTATTGTCCCAGGGACGAAGCCTATTGAAAACGGTTAACATCGGTCCATTATTTCACCTAGCCCCCATACAACTGAACCCCTCGAATAGGTCTTTTAAAACTTGTAATCAAACTACAGGTCGCAATTTTTGGCACATGTCTTTTATGGTATCGTAGACGAAGCCTATTGAAAATGGTTAACATCGGTCCATTATTTCACCTAGCCCCCATACAACTGAACCCCCGAATAGGGCTTTTAAAACTTGTAATCAAACTACAGGTCGCAATTTTAGAGATAATTCAATGAAATTTGGCACATGATCTTTTATGGTACCGTAGACGAAGCCTATTGAAAATGGTTACCATCGGTCCGTTATTTCACCTAGCCCCCATACAACTGAACCCCCGAATAAGGCTTTTAAAACTTGTAATCAAACTACAGGTCGCAATTTTGGTGATAATTCAATGAAATTTGGCACATGATCTTTTATGGTACCGTAGATGAAGCCTGTTGAAAATGGTTTACATCGGTCCATTATTTCACCTAGCCCCCATACAACTGAACCCGCCGAATAGGGCTTTTAAGTTCATAATTATGTTTAATATACTCATATCTCGACAAAAAGCTGCAATAACCAAATTGTATACAAGACTTGATGACCCCCACGAATTCCATAATAATAGGTTCTCATATGACCCTAGCCCCTATGAAAAGCCCCCATCAAAATTTCACTTAAATGTCCACAATTTTATTCAACAATAAACGGCTTAAGTATGTATGTCTAAGGCAAGGTACAATTCAACTTAAATGCTTTATTATGGCAACTAAATCACATTATATTTTTGTCAAAGGTGTAGGGTATTATATGGTCGGCCTCGCCCGACTATAATTTCGTACTTGTTTTCTAATCGAATAATTTTGTCCAGAAAACTTTAAATTTGAAAAGTTTTCTTTAGAAAACTTTCTATTCAAACAATTTTCTATATTTGAAATCTTTGTATTCACGCAGATTTTAATAGAAAACTTAGTATTCCGACACTTTTCTATAGAAATCCTTCTATTCGGACTCTTTTCTAAAGAAACACCTCTATTAAAGCATTTTTTCTGTATAAAACTTTCTATGCAATCACCTTCCTATAGAGAATTTTCTATTCAAGAAAACATTAATTTAATAGTTTTCTGAACACTGTTTTATAATATGATGCAAAAAACTTTTCATTGGAACATTTCGCTAAAGAAAACATAACCAAAAAATATGCTGTTCCATTTTGATATAAAAATTCTCTATATTAAAGTTTCAACAGGTTTTTTATTGAAAACTTTCCTATAGAAAACTTTTTAATAGAAAAGTTTTTATAGCAAAATTTTTCTATAGAAAATATTCCATTTGTACGATTTTTTATATAAAAGAAAACTTTCAATTACATTTGTAAGATTTCAATATAAAACATCATATTCAAATAACTTTCTATAGAAACCATTCTATTCAAACGAATTACTTTGAACAGTATTCCATTCGAACAGTTTTTTATGGAAAAATATTGTATTTGAACAGTTTTCTTTTGATTATTGTCTATTCGAACATTTTTTATCGAAAACTTTTCATTTGTATCGATTTCTGATATTTTTATACTGAAAACACTCAATTCTAACTGTTTTTTATAGAAAACTTTCCAATTAATAATTTATTATACCACCCTACTAAATCAATAACAGAACTCAGTTAAAAATGGTAACACTGTCTAAGGAATTTAATACACAAAATTACAACTCTGTGTCTTTACTGTTCTCACTTTTTTTGGTGAAAGTTTTTTGTTAAGTTTTTTGTTTTTATTTTTTAGTTTAAAGTTAAATTTAAATAATTTTTTATTTATTTATAATAATTAATAAATGGATGCCGAAAATAATCAAGCAAATGTTCAGACTAAAGTGGTATGTTAATAAATTGTGTAAACAATTCTTGTTTGTTTTGACCCACATATTGTTAGACCAGTTAAGAGTAGAGGGTAACAAGATTTCTATTTTTACAGAAATCTCAAGACATTAAAGATGCTAAACACGCAATTCCTGTGCACTCTGTAATCGTATTCTTGCTGGCCACTTTGGCAACTGCCATTCTGGTGGATTTGTTACCCACTAAATGCAGCTATTGGAATTGGCCTAAACAACAGGATGTTAGAAAGGAAGAAGTAGTTCCTCAAGGCACTTATGCTATTTATGGTAAAAGCAAAACTGAGGAACACTTAATACATGTTATCAATGTACTGGACAGACTGGGCTATCAACGTGTCAACTTGGAGGATAATTGGAATCTTTTGTGGGCTCATGATTATCCTTTCATAAAAATGCCTCAACGTATGAAAAATTTAGAAAAACATCAAATGGTTAATCATTTTCCCGGCTGTGGCTTTATTACCAACAAAGTGGATTTGTCAACAACACCTCTACCCTTTCTGCCTAGGGCTTTTCGTTTACCTTCTCAGCGGCAGGAGTTTCTGGATTATGTGGAGCAAAATCCAAAGGCTTTATTTGTAGAGAAACATAATGAACATCGTCATATAGCCATACGGCCACCAGAAGATATAAATTTATATTCAAATGATTCTTTTGTGCAGGAATTCTTGCAAAATCCTTTCCTGGTTGATGGTTATAAATTTGATATTGGCGTTTATGTGGTCATCACCTCAATTGATCCCTTACGTCTTTATATCTA